TTCTTTTCCTCTTTTCCTAACACTGTTTACATTTGCTAAAGTGAATTATATTAATGCTTGCTTTTGTGATTGCTGCTTGTTTTGGTCTTGTTTGTAAAGGGCTTTATCTACTTGAAGTGAAGAAATTTCTTGAACATTTATGTTTTGTATATTTTCATCTTTGATCCTTCCAGAGGTCTGAACATTATTTGCCTTGAATGTCAGCCTATTACACAGTAACACACTGTGCCCGTGTAAGGTGTGGACTCTACAGACGGCCCCATGTTTGGACACCTGGCTTGTCCTTGCCTTGCCAATGTCCTCTTTGACTATCTCTCTCCTACATGCCTCTAACACTCAGCTAGGTGTCCCAGTCCCCGTCTAGAGCAGTCCCTCTCCTATCATTGTTGGTTCTCTAGATCTGGAAATAACTTCATATCAGGTGAGCTACAGAGGTGGGGACATCGGTCAGGGAATCAGCAAGGTGCCAACAGATAAAACATGAAGCCATGAACTCAGATAAGAAAAAGGGAGGAGGGGATGGAAGGGGCAGCCAGGTTATCTGAGGAGTTAATGAACACACTGCTTCCTTGTTGACTGGGAATTCTGACCAGGAGATCAAGGGCAGGGGGTCCCTGGGGAAAGGGGCTCAGAGAGCAGAGGTAGGGGGAGCTCCAGACTGTCCTTTGGAATTCTGGGAAACATGCTCTGATGGGATAGAGCCAAAAGGGCCTTCTTTCTCCTCTGAAGAAGTTGGAGACAGGGAACTCAGGAGCCAAAGTCTCGGTCCTGGCTCAATCTGGGTTTTATAGGACCTGGTTGAGAAGAAAAAGGCAGAGGCCAGGACTGTCCAGGCTGCTCCTCAGCCCTCTCCAGGGAGAGGCCAGGAGACCCAGGGGTGCAGGGCCCATCCAGGCCTGGGAGGTGCCACAAGGAGGAAGAGGCATTAAGCCAGCATCCTCCCCAGTGCTCACCTGTGGGCCCACTGTGTGCTGGGAGCTGCAGGGTGAGCACTTTACCCACTCCGACTCTACCCAGAAGGATGTCTAAGGTACAGCTGCCTGTGTACAGGGCCTGGCTCTGCTGTATGAGCTGCATTGTGCCTCAGTTTCCCCGTATGGAGTGGGGACACTGAACCCTGCAGGGAGGCTCACACCACCCCTGGCTCCTCAGGCTGCTGGAGCAGGACTTACTGAGCAGCGCGTGGAGGCTGCAGGGAGGCTGTGGCTGGACTGCAACACTGACTGCGCACTCTCCCTGTGCACTCTCAGGCCTTGCGCACTTGTAGACTGTAAGAGACGTGGGCACACTCCTTTCCTTTGTGACCAGGGACACTGTGCAGGATGTGAGCTGGGCACCTCCAGAACTTGGGCTGCTGTCAACTGAGGCCCTCGCTGTCCTTCCCTGACCTGGCTTTGTCCAGTGGAACCAGCTCTAGGCCATCTGCACACCGTGGTCCTCGGTTGCAAACTGCACACGTCAGTAAGTTCTCCTTTTCATTTTCGGTCGGTATATGAGGGGACACAGGAAGCCTGCACCGCTAAGCTTAACTTTGTAATCCAGAGTCTAGGAAACCCACTACATACCAGCACTGAGGGATGCGTCCCACACAGTGGCGAATTCTTCCTCCCAAGGGACCGAGGAATCAGGTGCGGTATTCCATTTTGCAGTTAAGGAAACTGAGGCTAGAGACACCGGATGGCCTGTTTAAGTAGAGGGCTCAAGGATTCTTGTATTCTATTTTGTTATACTTCCCTTAGCATTTAAATCCTAATACCCAAATGCTGAAAGTCACCTTGGAAGTAAAAGCCAATGACATGGATACATCTCAGAGCATATTTTGAGGCTCTTAATAATTACCAACTAAAAAAAAAAGATTTTAAACTTAATGCATATTTTTAATATGGTTTGTTCACCGTGTGTGTGTGAAAATAATTTAAAAGATTATGATAAGGGCTGGACGTGTGGTTCAATGGTTGAGTGCTTGCCGAGGGTGCACATGGTTCTCGGTGCAGCCCCAGCACTACAGATGTATACATCCGGTTTCTCATTGCGTCAGATTCTCTTTGTTTGCAGATAATGCCAAATAGCAAGCACTCCTAAGGGCAGAGTTTTGACTCCTAAGGCCCGAGGCAGTGATGGGCCCTGCTCTCATCCTCTTCAGCTGACTCTCAGGGATGAGCTCCTCCTAAAACAACTTCCTGCTGGGTTCCCTCTGTCACTCCTCCCACTTGCCCTGTGCTCCCCAGATCCTGTCCAGGTGAGGACGTCTTTGAGTGGCTTTCAGGAGCTCTCGCTGCACCATTTAGGGCGGCCTGGGTTTGCTGCAGCTACAAAAACCAACTCCCGGGGTTTCATCCAGCAAAGGCTGATTCCTGGCTCCCTCTACAGGCCCCATGTGGGATGAACAGGGGACTGTGCCCTTAAAGAGTTACAGAAAAGACGCATTTGGGACAAAAGGAACTTTAATGGGAAAGATGAGAAACAAGAAGAAAACAAGAGGACGGAGGAAAGGGAGCTGGAGAAGGAGAGAGGAAAGGTGAGGTGGAGCGTTGATGGAGGATCCAATTTGTTACCACTCTGCCCCAGATCTTCTGAACTAATTCTTTTAATCATTCTTTATCTAATGTTTTCAATGCCAATGGTGATGCCAGAAACACCACTCCAGTGCCCGCTAGTACAAGCAGGGCTTCTTGGTATATGCTGGGCCTGCTGAACCTCAGTTCCCCCTCCTCAGTTGGAAATAATAAGTCCAGCCATGATCTTTGGCGTCTGGTGTTGAAGATCAAATCAGCAGCGAATATACTTTTTAGAAGTAAAGAATCAGGCAGCTCTAGGGCCCCCGGCTGTGCTGCTCACCCTCAGCGGTCCCTGTAGGTTCCCAAGGAGCCAGCTCATTCCCTCCTAGGGCTTTAGGCTGCCGGATTTGGGCGTCTCCCAAGGGGTCTCTACTCATAATGACAGACGTAAAATGACAAAATGATGGTGTCAAAGGTGACCGCGCGCAGCTTTTCAGCCTCTTTGTCTTCCCCAAGGACCCTCGGGGGTTAGTTGTACCAGGCTTCGAGTGTGCACCTTCTCCCCACACAATGCCATCTTGGGGAGTATGGAGATGTGCGCAGATTATTTGCACGGAGCTGTGGCTGCTGTGACCTCGGGCAAGGTGAGCCCTGGCAGACGGGCTGCTTGGCCACAGCGCAGCGAGACGCTGTCCTGCAGAGGCCCGGAGTGTGCGTGGCCACCAGTTCTCCTCTTGCCCCGAGGAAGCACACAGTCGTCCCTCAGTCCGGCCTGGCCCTCAGGGAAGCGGTGTGAAATGAAGGGTGAGCTTTGGAGACCCTAAATACCCTAGTCCCGTACAAGCTATGTGACCCTCAGCAAGACAACAACTTCCCAGTGCCTCAGTTTCCATATCCACGCGAGGTGGTGCAAGACCATAGCAGGCACAGCCACAGTAACAGTGCTGCCCCGGGGCCTCCGTGAGAAAGCGGGGAGAGCCAGATGCGGAGAAACGGCTCTCCCGCGCTGGTGCACGCCGGGCTGCGGTGGAGAGGGGTTTTCAGTCTCTGGGTTAAACTCGCAGGATCCATACAGTTTTCAATCCACACGGCGGATAGCTAGTCTCCTGCCCTCGGGCCAGACAACCGGTAGATGGCGCTGTGTGAAGCGGAATTCAGTCTGCAGAGCTGGCCCGAGGGTCCGTGCAGGTGCGGGTGAAGGGCGTCGTTACACAGATGAATGGGGGTGGAGGCTCCAATAGGGAAAACTGAAGACTGGACTCTTATCTGGGAAACGACTGGTACTGTTATTTAGACTGAATCACGTGAACTTGCAAGCACATGACAATTTAACCTAAAAAGTACCAGTTTTATGATTCGACTTTGCACTCTGTCTCCAACACTCCGGTGAATGGGAAGCGGTGGTCCCTGGCTGATGTGCGAGGGGCGGTGCATTCAAGGTCAGGGAGGCCGGGGAGAGTCGGGGCAGCAGGCGGCTTTCCAGGCCGGTGGTCTTCTGGCGCCGCAGCCCTTCAGCAGGGCCTTGGAGCCCCTTCGGAGCAAGGCCCAACCTGGGATAGCCTATGCGTACATCACTAGGCTGGTGGCTGTCCCATGGGAAGGTTGTGTGGGGAGAGCCAGGTTCACGTGGCCCCAGGAAGAAGCCCGCCAGGAGCAGGCAGGGCGAGGCCTGGGGAGTGGCAGGTGCTGTCCTTCTTCCTCCCTAGCCTAGGAGTCCTGGTCCTGACTTCCAGAGCCGCCCACAGCACTATGACCACATGTCCAGGGAGGAGAAGGGGACATAGAGTAAGGGCTTGTGCCTGGTGGTCTTGGGGAGTTTCAGAGGGGACAGAGGCTGGACCCAGAGCCCCTCCAGCACTGAGGAGAAGGGGCTGCTCCTAACAGGAGACATGTGAGGGTCCTGGGGCAGTGATGGGGGGAGAAGAACTGAGGCCGCTGTCTCATCCAGCCCATCAGAGGAAGGGGTCCACAGACCACCTGGTTTCATCCCTGTGGGGTGTAGGAGCCAGCCCTGGTGAGATGACAAAGTGTGACGGGAAGGGGACATGCTCCACCCCCGTGTGTGGCTGGAGATGCAGCAGCTCAATGCCAGGTGGAGAGCAGGCAGCTCTGGGAGCAGCAGGAGGGGGAACAGGGTGGCGTGACCACCTTGCAGGGGGCACTACAGTCAGGACAGTGAGGGCTGTGTGTGTTGGGGGTAGATTCACTCGGGGACATGGAGGACACTTGATGGATCTGGGGGCCTCAGGCTGGCATTTGTGCCACACAGTCCCCTCATGATTTCCAGGCAGGACTGCAGACTTTGAATATAGAGGGGCCCAGGGCCTGTGGGATGAGGTACCAGCCACAGTTGGCCTTCCCAGCACAGGCTGCCCAGCACAGGACCCCACGTGTATGGGTGCAGCGACACCGGGACAGACTGTGACCTGGTCCACTCTTAACCTCAGGGTCCAAAGGGAGACTTAGACACCGGGGGAAGAATTAGTGAGTCAAACATAGGCATGGCCAGATCAAGCATCTCTTTAATGTCACCCAGGAAGGGGACCTTCCTGAGGGCTCAAGGAGGGACTAAAGCAGTTCCTGCTGTGTGGGATTCACCACTTTCCCCACAAAGAGTGGAATGTTGGTGTTTTCTCCCCTGATGAAGAGAAAGAAGGGCCTGTTGAACTTGATGGTGAAGGCCTTTGACCAGTCCCTGTCTTCCAAATCAGTATCCCATCGGGTCTCTGTCCTTTTGCCGTTGATCGTCAGCATGGCTTCATGCAGGGCCTGCACGGGAGAGAGGCAGAGGCGGGCTCTGAGGCTGGGCTGTCCCTCCCACAGGCTGGAGCAAGGCCCGAGTGGGGGCCTCTTGCAGGAGGCCTCACCAGGGCCTTTCTCCTCCTGGTGGACCTGTCCTGTCCACAGTCCCCTCCCTGAACTGTCACCCAGGAATTTCCCTCTCTCTCAGCCTTTGCCTGGCCCAGCCCGCTGTCCTCTGCTCCCTTCCTAACTCCATCTCTCATGTCTTAGCTACACCCTTCATGTGTAGAAGGGGACGGACGGCTATGTGGAGGCCAGGTCCTCCCACAAGTGTCCCCTTTCCAGTATATAGTGATGAGCTCCTGAGACAAGGACTCTGCTGGTGAACTTCTCAGTGCCCAGACCCCATGAATGCACAGCCCACACTGGCCTACACCTGCTCCTGGTCCCCTTTAATTTCTCTGAGCCATTGGCCTCTTTGGCTGAACTCACTCACAATTCAGACCTGGTGTTTCACCAACACCTCTAAATCTCATAGATGGAAGATTCCAGAACATTCTGTGCCGTCACTGAGCCTAAGCCTCTCAGTGTAAATATGGGTCACCTGAGTCCCAAAGACCCAATGGCCCTAAAAAAGATGAGACTGAGGGTTAGTGAGGACCTCAGGGGAGGTCCCTGCTGTGGCATCAGCACTGGAAGTCACCTCCTTTATTCCATCCTCTGAACTCGTCCTTTTCTGGTTGGTTCCACGAGTCCTGGGAATGAGCTCAGCCTGGACCTTACCTGTGTCCCTTGATTCCTTACTCAGCCACATACCTGAGCAGCACCCCAAAACTCATTCTGCTCCACAGACACTGGGGACAATGTTGTTAGGGGACCTCACCGTGGAGAGTTTGATGGCTACCACCTCCGTGACCCCGGAGAGGTCAGCTTCATTGCTGAAGATCCTGGTGATGCCCAGTGTGCTCAGAGTGCTCCTCAGATCATAGGATGCAGAAATGGACAGTCTGAGGAAATGTATTCTGGCAAATCTGGCAGGCATGAGAGAAAAGGAAGGAAATCCACAGCATTTCTCATGTTCTGCTGGGACCCAGCCTGTGTCCTTTCTGGTTGTGTCTCCTATTGGTGCCCTGTCCCCTCCACAGCAGGATGAGAAGCTGCCCAGCTTTGTTGGGGTTTGATCTTCCTCTGTACCTGCTGTGGGACCATGTTGTCCTGACAGCCCCTGAGAAGCTACCTCCTTGGAGTCCTCGGCAGGTGTGTGGTGCCCTCCTGGAAGGGGATGCCATTCTGTCCTGAAGCATGTGGTCATCTCTCTCCCAGCCAGGGGCTCTGCAGGGCCTGACTCCCAGGGGATTGTGGATCAGTACAGTAGGGGCCAAGTGAAAACCATTGGTGAAGAGACAAGAGCGCCCTCACCAGGCAAAAGACTCTGCTCTGGTTCCCTTGGGGTATAGGCGAGGCTGAGTAGGCCTGTGCTGAGGCAGCAGGTCCCTGCCTGACCTTGCTCTTGTCTCAGCCCTCAGGAGGCCTGGGGGAAAACAGTAGTGACACTTCTATTCACAGTTCAACTTCACACCTGTGGACACTTTTATAATTGTTCCATAAGATGCCTAATTACATAGTGCATCTGGGCATAGGTTCGTTTCTGATGCCAAATGTGGCTACTGTGTGGTGCAGGCTTGAGGACTATTGGCTCCTGGGATCCCATAAACCACACTGAAGCAGTAACAGAGGAGCAGGGCACTCTGCAAACTGCCTTGGACTTCCCAGTGCTGGCTGTTTCTTGTTCCGGGCCTTTCCACGCAGGCTCCTATGCTCTCCACCCAGGGACAGTCCCTCCTGGATGCCTCATGCAGTTGCCACCTCTGCCTGGAGGCCACCACCTTGTTCTTTATCTTGATAAAACATGTACTATCCTTCTGGCCTCTGCCCCTGGGCACTGAATAATGGGAAGGGATATTGTCCATGGTGGGAGGGGTCTGTGCCTGCTGTCCCCTGGTCACTGACCCTTGCACTGAGCTCAACGCTAACGGAAATTAGCACTGGGTCTGGTTGGAAGCAAAAGGTCACTCCCAGGAGCTGTGAGCTAAGGGGTAGAGTCCACCTTCCCCAGCCCCATGGCCAGTCCTGAAGGGCCTTTGTCTTGACATGGCTCAGAAATCCTAGGTGGGTTCCTGCACCGGGGACTCACCTTTTGTCAGTGGTTCTGAGGATATTAGCAAAGTGTTCCTGAGTCAGTCCTCCTTCCAACTGCTGCATCTTCCCTGGGTCAGGCAGGATGAAGAAGGCCATGGCATCACCCACAGACTGCTGGACTAGCACCCAGCAGGACAGCTCCTCATCCCAGTTCAGGAAAAATATACCCAGGCGATTGACCGTGGGCACCCTGATGGTTGTCACCTCATCGACATAGAAGTCCTCTTCCACAGTGTATTCAGCCTGGAAATGAGCAGTCCATTTGCCTGGAGAGAGAGACGTCAGGCAGGGGTGGGATTAAGGTTTAGGGAATGTGTCAGAGAAATGGAGCCCTGAGTGCCCTCATGAGACACTGACCTCTGAGACTCACCCTGGTCTTCTGTAAAATGGGAGCAAAAGACAGGCACTTGCTGAAGGGCTTTTATGGAAATAATCTGAAGCAGGAGGAGACCCTGGGATTTGGATTTACTCAGGCTGATTTGGGACAAGCTGGCTGTGAAGGAGAAGCACCTTTATTTAGATTTTATATTTATTTGCTAGAGGACCAAGGATGCTAATGAAAATGACTGGCATAAGCAGAGGTCCTCCTTCTTTCCTGGAGGCTTCCTGTCCCTCACAGAGGCTGCTTCAGTCCACACTCAGGTCAAACATTCTGGGTTCTACCCCTGAGGCCTTGTCCTGCACCACGGTAAAGTGGACAGGGCCGGGCCACCTTGCCTCTGCTGTACAAGTGTGCCTCGCTTCCAGGCCATCAGGGAGGGAAGGTGATTCCGGGACCCCTGAGCCCACCTTTCTCACTGGACAGGGCTCACTGGGGCTAGAGGGGGGACAGGAATTGCCCCAAGTCAGAGCAGAGATGGGACCTCAGTTGTGCTGACTGTGACCTCGGGGCTCTGCATTGCCAGACTCTGCCCAGGAATGGGGAGACAGGGAGGGGAGCCCCAGGCCTGGCTTTGACCCCGCTTCCCTCCCTCAGGCTGTTTCCCTGGAAGCTGCCATAGAACCTGGGGCCCATGGGGTCTTGACCCTCTTGTAGCCCATAAGCAGGAGGGCAGGCTGAGGATGGAGACTTGTTGCTCAGTTCTACATGCCCTACATACTATGAAACTTGATTAATTCTTTCAACACTTGGTAACAAGGGTATGGATTTCCATCCAGACTCATGTATTGTGTAACTTGACTAATCCTTTCAAAACTGTAACAATGGTGGGGTTTTTTGTTTATGATAAGTTAAGGAAATGCTGCCTCCAATAAATAAAATTACTTTTTGAATATCAAGACTAATGAGTACTGAGGTGGGATTTGAACCCAAGTCTTTCACACTCCAGAGATGACACTTCCATGACTCTAGAGTTGTTTAAATTATGTTCCATGAAACACCATTCTCTCCACTATCTGTTCCAATTTCTATCTCTGGTTCTCTAGGTAGGAAAACATTCTGTTTCCAATGCTCCTCTCTCACTGGTATTTTCACTGTGTATTAGGACAATAAGGGCTCTAGCAAGCCCTACAGAGAAGATGGAGATGTAATTGGTGTTCACTCATCATTCGCCAGTCTTGCTGGTTCACAGAAATGGTTTCATTGTATCTGAGTAGAACATTACAGATCCCAAATTGGGATGCCCTGCCTTGTTCCACATGAGCTGTCAAGGAAAGTATAAGCAGTGGTGCTTTGAGCGCATGTTGGATTATTTCAGTGGAGCCAGCTCAGGCTGGGGGATCTCGCCTTACCATGGAGGGCAGTGTAATTCACCAGCATGAGATCTGTGTCTTCCTCCAGATCTTTGACCAAATCCACTATTTCTCCATGGGTTTCCCTCTCCACATAATTGTTGATCTGTTTGCTGGTGAATCTGGTGTCCTCGAAGCTGGTGGAGATGACTTCTGAGTGATACAGGTCTTTGACATCCTGCACAAATTTACTCATCAGCATCAGACTATCACTGACAAAGAGGCCAAGACCCGTGAGGGGAAGACAGATGTGACTGAAGACCATGAAACCAGATAAGAGAGAAAGTAGAAGGGATATCATAGGCAGGAAGTTATCTGAAGAGCAACTACATGGAGTCTGCCCTAAAAACATATGTACACGTTAGCAATTTACCATGCTAATAAATGTTTGGAAGCTAATGGCCACCACTCTGAGCACTTCTTATAATTATAAAGGCCAAAGGTAACCTGCCTTAATCTCATGATCTCTCAATAAATTTAGCAATAAAATTTTACACAAGTTTTCCTTTTCCTGATGTATACATTTTTTGGTGGACTCTGTTTATGTCTCTTTTATGGCCATAAGAAAATCAAGGGCAGTGAGTCTCTGGAGGAGTAGGAATATTTACTCAGAAACACTGAAAAAACAAGAGATAATACAAAAGATGCAGGAGGTCCTAGATGACCTTAAAAGAACAAATCCAAGAATCATGAATCTCGAAGAAAGGGTAGAGGTAGAGACTGATGATATAAAAATCATTCACACCACTGGAGGATTATAAGAAATTATTTTGAAAACTTATAGTCTAAGAAATTGGACGATGTAAAAGAAATGATCTAAAATATTCAATAGAAAAGTACATTAATAAGAAAAAAATGCAAAAAATGCTCCAAAAATTGTAAACCCCCTCCCAAAGTAGATCTCAAAGATACTTACATGTATACATTTCCAGACAAAGAACTTTTAAAACCAACAGTTAAAATGATTGATGAGATCAAAGAGCTAAGTAAGTAGCTGAATAAATAACTCACTAAGATGACCAGTACTTTTTGAGAAGATGTAACTAGCAGTTGAAAGAGTCAATCTCTAAGATGATCAATGATCTTAAAGAAGGTACAAATAAGTAGCTGAATGAATTAAGAAAGACAATCCAGGATATAAAAGACCACTTAAGTAAAGAAGTAGAAGTTATGACAAGGAATCAAGCAGAAATCCTGGAAATGAAAATCTAGAGTGTTTTGGCAATAGGTGAAATCAGTCAGAAGACAGAATATCAAGATTTGAGGATAGCCTCGATGAAGGAGAACATTTACTCAGTAACACTGAAAAACAGCAAAAGACAATAAAAGAAAGATGCAAGAAGGCTTAGATGACTTTAAAATAAGAAACTTAAAAATCATTGATTTTGAAGAAGGGGTAGAGGAAGAGACTGATTGTATAAAAAATTATTCAGCAAAATTATTGTGGAAGATTTTCCAAATCTAGAGAATGAGATGGATACCCAGGAAAATGAGGTATTTAGAACCCCAAATAGACATGATCAGAAAGAACTTCTGGATGACACATCATAGTAAAAAATCTCAAAAATTCATAACAAAGAGAGCTCTTAGCAAAAAATGACAAATTATATAATTGCAAACCCATCAAAATAACAGCAGATTTCTCAACAGAAACCCTGAGGGCCAGGAGAGCTTGGAGTGAAGCTTTTCAGTCTCTAAAAGAAAATAATCACCAACCCAGATTACCATATCCTGTGAAATTATCCTTCAAAATTTATAGAGAAACAAAGACCTTTCATGATAAAAATAAACTAAAATCTTTCATGACCACAAAACCAGGAGTGCAAAAATACTCAAGGGAATCCTTATCAGAGACAAGGAGATCAACAATACTCAAGAGTCTGAATAAAAGAATAAGTTTCATTGGGAGAGTAGTTAAACAAAAGGGAAAATTTTAAAAAGGAATCAAGCATTAAAAAAACAATACAGTGATAGGAATCAGTGTATACCTTTCAATAATAACACTCAAGGTAAATGGTTTCAACTCTCCAATCAAAAGACACAAACTGGCAGATTGGCTCGAAAAACAAAACACAATATTTCTTGCCTCCAAGAACAAACCCTATTCACATACACACACACAAAAACACAGACTGAAGACGAAAGGTACTCCAAGAAGCCAGAGGAAGAATTCAAGCAGGTGTAGCTATTCTGATTTTTCACAACGTTGACTTTGAACCAAAACTGGTCAGAAGAGACAATGTCAAGAAGGTCAATACATATTGGTAAAGGGAAAAATTCAGCAAGTAGATATACTAGTTGTAAATACATATGCACTGAATGTCAGCACATTCAAATTCATCACACAAAAACTACTTGACGTAAAAGGACAGATAGACACTAATACAGTCATAGTGGAGGACTGTAATACACCATTGTCACAAATAGAAAGGTCAACTAGACACATAACCAATAAAGAAATACAGAGGTAGCATTTGTGGTAGCATGGGCCTATAATCTCAGCAACCAAAGGTCTGTGTCCCAGCTCAGGCTGGATTCCACAGGATGACCAGGTGCAAAGACAGAGGCAGAGGACACGCCAGAGTGAGGCCAGAACTGCCCAGGCGACTCCTCAGACCTCTGCAGGGAGAGGCCAGGGGGCTCAAGGGGATGGGAGCTGTCCTGGCTGAGGATGGCACCATGAGGAGGAAGAGGCACCAAGCAGCCCCGCCCCAGTGCTCACCCTGAGGGCCTACTGTGTCCAGGGAGCTGCAGTGAGACTGTTCCTCCTCCCCGACTCTATCTGGAAGGAGGGCCCATGTGTGGCTTCTTGGGTTCAGGTCTTGGCTCTGCCAACAAGAGAGAATTTGCCTTGGTCTCTCTGTGGGGAGGGGGGTACTGAGCGAGACAGGAGGGCTCTCAGCACCCACCCTGGCAGCCCAGGCGGAGGCTGGTGGAGCAGGACTTACTGAGCAGGACGTGAAGGCCACAGGGAGGCTTGGCTGGACAAGGAGCACTGACTGTCCCTTCCACACTCTCTCATCCTGGGGATTTATAGGCCATGTAGAGGCACGGGAACTCTCAGTTCCTATGTGATCAGGCATTATTTGTGCTGTGATCAGGTGCCTCCTGGCTGTGGGCCAGTGTCCTTGTGCAATGTGCTGCTGTCGCCTGAGGCCCTCACTGTTCTTCCCTGACCTGGCTCTGTGTACAGGTCATTCATGGATGGCTGGTGCCAGACCATCTGGAGGGTGGGTGGAAGGGAGTCCTGTAGCCACCCCAGAGCCACTGCAGGGAGCTGTTGAGAGAAGACAATTAGTTTATTCATGTCAGGAGGCCAGCACAGAGCTGGCTCCATGATAACCACTAAGAATTGTCACCTGCTGCATCAGGGAGCCTGTTTCTGCCATGGACCTGCCCTGGGAAGTCTCCTATATGAAGCTGCAGTGGGTGCCATTCAGCCTCTGGAAGTAATTTGTACTGACACAGAAGGGAGATAAAAGCCAAGCACTGAGCATCACTTAAAGCATCCTTGATTTAATTGGGAAAGATCAATAATCCACAGTCCCATGAGGAGGGAGATTTCTTGAAATGTAAGAAGTGCCCTGAGCGCTCATCCTTATTACTGTCTGTTATGGCTTATATCTAGATGTTCCCCCCAAAGCCTCATGCAGTCATAAGTGAGGTTTTCCAGAGGTTGCTGGATCTAGGGTGTATGTTTCTGAGATTAAGGGTGTGTGATTACTAAATTAGTCCACTGATTGGTTTGGCATATTTCTGGGTATGGATAGTGGGAAGGTCACCCTGGGTATGGATGACACCACACAAAGGGCAGGTAGCTTGGAAAGGATAAAATGTAGAGGCTGAATGCTGCTGCTGCCGCTTCTTCACTACTTCATTGCTTTGCTGCCTTTTGCCCCCCATGAACAGTTTCTCCTCTGTGCTGCCCCTCTGCCATGCCACCTAGCCTTGGAGCCAGCCAATTATGAACTAAAACCTTTACAAACTGTGAGCTATAATACATCTTTTCTCCTTTAACTATGGATGTTGGGTATTTTGTCTCAGCAATGAGAAAGCTCACTAAAACAGATTTTCATACCAGGAGTAGGGTTGTTGCTGTGACATTACCTGGCCATGTGGCTCAAGGACTTGTGGGAAGAAGCCTTTCCAAAGGGAAGGTTTAGAGATACCAGCTAAAGAAGCAGCCCTGAAATGCTTTAAGGTGTACTTGATGGGGGATTCTCATCAGAGCTCAGAAGACCAGAATGTTGATAGAAATGCTACTGGTAAAGAGGCTCAGGAGGATTCTGTTGAGAAGAGGGACAGCAATGGCCATTGGACTCCAGATCATGTTGTTATACTTTGGCAGATAATTTGTCTGTATTTTGCAATTATCTAGAGTCTTTGCCTGAGACTGAGATTAAGGGCAGTGAACTTATTAACCTGGTGGAAGAAATTTCAATGTAGTCCAATATTGAGGTGGTGGCATGGCTACCACTGGGGGCTTTTAGCCAAATTATGTTGAGAATCAAGAGCAAAGAGCCCAGCAGAATAATTTAAAATGTTTTGAGTTTCACCAGAAAGGGAGCTCCAGTAAAGTTATGGCCTACAAAGATAGAGCAGAGGAGAAATTTGTTGCAGCAAAGGAACAGGACAGTAGACAGTACAAAAGATAGTCTGAAGACACCACAAGAATCAGCAGAACTTCAGCCTTTGCAGCATCAAAATTGCAAAGGTGAAAGACTTTGCTTTGAGATGAGAGCCCCAGAGCACCATGTTCCAGGATGGGAGAACCCTAGAGAATTTGTTCCTCAGAATTGGATTCATAATGCTCAGAAATCCAGGGACTTGATCCCTACAGCTAAGAAACAAGGAAGTCTGGCTAACTGCTTCAGCTGGCAGTAGACTTTGGCATCATCCATGGATGCTGATTTTAGATGCATGCAGAATATGAGAGTTGTGGGGACAGGAAGCCTTCCACTCAGATTTCAGAAGAAGGCCTGGGGGCCCAGCCAGTGTGCTCTTGAGAGGGCAGTGTGTGAAGCTGTGAGTGTGAAGACAAATGTGCTGTGGAGGCTCCAGAATGTTAGAGAAGCCAGGAGCATGTATTGTTTGAGGAAAGTCACAAGGAGTTAGCAAAGCTGGCCAAAAAGAGAAGCCATGGGTGCTACAACCACTGGAAGTGCGGGAGGAGCAGAGCCACCCAAGCAAGCCCTTTGGAGTTTGCAGAATAGATTTCACTGGATGCTGGACATGGAACTATGGGATTTACTGTTCGTCCTGATGGGTTTTGATCTTGCTTTGTTCCCATTCCTTTCTCTCCCCCTCTTTGAGCCCTTTGGAATGGAAATGTCTATCTTGTGCCATGTATGTTGGAAGTGTTTAACTTTCTTTTCATTTGTACAGGGGCTCACAGCTAAGAGTTTGCCTTAAATCTTAGAAAAGACTTTAGACTTGGGCTTTTCAGCAATGCTGAAACTCTTGGGACTTTGGGAACTCTTAGAGATGGACTAGATGCCTTTGGCATAAAGGGATGTGCATGAGTATTTGGTGGGGGCAGAATGTTATGGCTTCTATCTAGATGTTCCCCCAAAGCCTCATGCAGTCATAAGTGGGGTGTTCTGGAGGTAACTAGATCTAGGTTGTGTGTTGCTGGGATTAAGGGTGTGTGATTACTAAATTAGTCCACTGATTGGTTTGGCATATTTCTGGATATAGATAATGGAAAGGCCATCCTGGGTATGGATGGCACTACCCAAAGGGCAGGGAGCTTGGAGAGGATAAAATGTAGAGGCTGGATGCTGCTGCTGCTGCTTCTTCACTGCTTCATTGTTTTGCTGTCTTTTGCCCCCCATGAACAGGTTTGCCTCTGTGATGCCCCTCTGCCATGCCACCCTGCCATGAAGTTAACCAATTATGAACTGAAATTGCTACATACTGTGAGCTACAATAAACCTTTCCTCCTTTAACTATGGTTGTTGGACGTTTTGTCTCAGTAACAAGAAAATTAACATTGGTTCTTTGTGTCAACCGAAACAGTGAACAGAGAGACTCTTATGAAAAGTGAGTTTATTTGGGAACAAGCTGAGCTTTACCATGGGGATCCTGTGTTCTCAGTAGCCATGAGCAAATTCTAGGGGGTCAAACGAGGGGAAATTGTGGAAAGAAAAGGAAGTGTATGCATAAGTTGTTTGGAAACTATGTGAACACTGTCTCCCCACCACACACCCGGGGATCAAACTCAGAACCTTGTGCTTGCCATGCAGGTGGAGTGCCACTGAGCCACATTTCCAGCCCTGAATTATTTTTTGTTTTTCACTGTCTATAGAACCTCATCATGACAGGTTGTGTCAGTCCTTAGTATGTCAGGCATGTGTTGTGGTCCAGAGGCCTGCTGTCCTTGCTGGCTCACATAAGAAGCTACATTTTGGAAACATTTCTTGTGATATTTCCTGTCATCAGGCAAATAGTGCCCAAGAGCCCTCCCCTATGGCCTTCCCAAAGCACCCCCTGTATTTTGTCAGGTTTGACACAAGTGACTCTATTTTGATTCTAACCATTTTCACACAAGACACGCACCACAGATGCACATATGTATATATACACACATACAGGCACATAGGTACAGACTCACAGATACACACACACACACACACACATTAGTATCTTGGTTCACGAACTTAATTCTTTCCATGATTCTGGTCACAAATCGAATTGGACAAGAACCAAATCAAATTTCCCCTTAAAGTCAGCATTGAACCTAACCATTGAATTTCACTGAGTTCTCATCCAGTTCAGATTGCAACCAGAACTGTGGAAAGAATTAAGATCGTGAACTGAGTCCGGGGATTTAGCTCAGTGGTTCCGGTGCCTGCCTCGCAAGCGCCAGGTCCCAAGTTCGGTCCTTGGCACACACACACACACACACACACAAAAGATTGTGAACTGAGATACCACTGTATATAGTTATAGAAACACAGGGAAGGGGTGATCCAAATATATGGTGACTTTAAATTTTGAAAATGTGTTACAATAAAAGACACATTGCCATCAATCCCCCCTCAGAATACTCCCTCCTCCCTTGAACACATTTATCCCATCATTCTTGCCACTTTCTGAAGCAGCTCTGGAAGTCCTCTTTCATGAGTGTTTTTCTGAGGTGTGGTCAAAAATACATTAAATGTGCCAAGTGCTATCCAAGAGGAAGGCAGGTTTGTAAAACACTGCAGTGTGTCCTCATGTAACTTACTCATTGCATCTGGTACCATGTGACTTCTGCCTCTTCTCTAAAAGCTAAATATTTTGAATTGATTTAGAACATCAAGGCAGCCAGCATGGCATAATTAAAGACACTTAAGAAAGAGGACTTCCTACTTTATCTGGTGTGAAAAACTAAAAGTGTAAACAAGGATCAAAATGTATAATTGATAACGTGAAATAGGAAGAAAAGGTCTAAAGGAGTAGGGGAGGTGGGAGGGGTAGGGGAAAGGAAAGAAGAGAAAAGAAAAAACATGAGAAAAGGAAAAAAATGGAAACAAAGTCTTTGTAAATAGGGAAGGGTGGAGGGGGTGAAGGGAGGGCAGGGGAAGGGGGAAAAAATAAGAGCCAAGATACGTCATGTAAGGTACCAGATCCCAATGACGAATGTAACTGTATTGTGTACCTAAAATGTACCAATAAACTTAATGGACAAGAAAGAAAAAAAGAGTACTTCCTGAGTTGCTTCAGAAAGTGGCAAGAATGCCAGGAAAAGTGTATTTGAAGAAGCAAGGGGTCGGATTTTGAGAGGCGTTAATGACAATGGGTCTTTCACTATAACAAATCCTTAAAAGTTTTAAACATTCACTGTATTTTTCAATTACATCTTTTACACAGGCAAACACAGACTCAGACACACATATAGGAACTCATAGACACAAACACTCATGCACAGACACATGCAGATACATAGTCACACACAGACACACGATGGGCCCTGTCTCGCTCTGGGCCACTCAGATACTGGAATGGGCCACTCACCTGACTCACCCTGAGAGGCCTGGGCCTGGCAGGGTGGAGCAGGCCCTGGTGACAGCATGGTCTGAGCTCAGGAGGTGAAGATCTGTGTCTTCCTCACTTAGCTGGCAAGGGCGGCCACAGTACCGCCCCCA